ACCCACCCCTGGCCCCCTAAACAACACAACTTGTGCCCCCAATTGCCTCCCAAACCCTGCTAGGTCATTTATATGTGGCTAATTAAAACAGGGAGGTTTTCCTCTTGATTATTTACTGTTTGCCAAGTTCATTATTTGCTCACCCATAAATCAACACCGCTGGCTAAAGGCGAATGTTTTCTGTGCTGCATTTTTAAGTCTTCAATTAAGAGGTGCAGGGAGTGGGGTGGGGGAGGAGGAGAATTGCCACCTCTCTGATGCCTCCCCAAAAGAGATACTTTAGTGCTGAATATTTAACAATTCCAAAGCTTTCTGGACTTCTTTGGTGTTCTTCATGCTGTGACCATGGCTTGGAAGACAGGGGGGAATTGGATATATACTGTAGTTGCAATAATTTGCACATGTCATAGATGGAAGTCATGTGAACCACTTTATTCTTATTCTATTCCTATTTCTATTCCTACTCTACTCTATTCTACTCGTCTCTTCTAATTTTATTCTTATTCTATTCTATTCCTATTCCTACTCTACTCTATTCTACTCGTCTCTTCTAATTTTATTCTTATTCTATTCTATTCCTATTCCTACTCTACTTGTCTCTTCTCTTCTAATTTTATTCTTATTCTTATTCCTATTCCTATTCCTACTCTATTCTACTCTACTCGTCTCATATGCTGGGAATGGATTTCCAAAGGGATTTTGAAGAAACATATGGGGCTCTATTATGGAAGGGATTTCTCACTTTGCAACAGAAATGTTGAGCTGAATTGTAGTCCTAAGTTGAAGACTACCTGTAGCATAACAAGAAACTTCCAAGAACTTTGAGGTTCTGGGTATAAGGGATGATTGTCTTTTTCTGCACCCTTGGTATGAACTGCTGCCAAAAGATGCTTAAAATTTCTCCTTTGCTGGGGCAGCAGGGAATCAATTGTAATGGGGAAATTAGTGAACATCACTGTGCGATGCAAATCCATGCGACTTGCCAAGAAATCCAGGCTAGTCTTTAACTATTATATTAAGCATCTGTCGTGCCTGCCATTTATGGATCAGATAACATTGTCCTCTTGAGGTCTTTGATTTTATTACCTCCTAGGGACAGAACCAAACAAGTGTGCTTATTGATTTTCACATTAAATATATTAGTAATAAAACAACATCTCGGCAAACCAATTGGAAAATCAATATTAATTGGGACCAAAATATCAAGAAGGGTTGAATTACAATTAAACAGCCTGGCTTTCCAGGGTCACTTTATCGCATTGGAGATTGAGATCTGATCTTGGTTGATTTCCATATGCCTACTTTGGTCAATCATGCAACCAGATGTTTGGCTGAACCCATTTCAATTCCCCGGTAGATCGCAGATTTCCTGATTGGGCCCCAAAATGAGATGACCTTCCAACAATCCACACTCCTAGAAGGAACCACTCTGTGTCCAGTTTGACTTCTTGGGGTAGTTGAACAGCTCATCTGCTGCTGGGATCAACCCTCATAGCTTACTTTTCCTACTCTGTTATAAAAAGGAAAACAATCCAGGTGTAAATTTAGACTACAGAATAACAGAGTTGGAAGGGGCATGATTGCCTCCAGAAGTTGTGAATTCTTCAACAGTGGAGGATTTTAAGAAGAGATTGGACAGCCATTTGTCTGAAATGGTTTCCTGCGCATGGATTTGGACACAAAACCATCCAACTCTCTTATTCTGTTACTCATAACTTTGGTTTTCTAGCCTGGCCTTTCTGGAGAGGCTGACAACTAACAGGAGGTGAGGTGAGACGGGTTATGGAGTTTCCAGCTATCCTTTTTTTCACAGGAAATCTTAACTTCCCTTAAAAAGATCACCTTCCAGACATGTTAAGTCTGTTACAAATCAGCCACCATCTACAAATGTATCTCAGAAATTATTGGGCAAACAGTCCTGAATAATTAA